CTCCAGGTAGATGAGATCAGGAAATGGGCTTTCCTTTTCACTCTTCTTCCTGAGAAGTTTCAAGATACTACTGTTGGTTGTTTTGACATAACTTAGGATTTAATTTCCAGCCTACTTCCTCTTTTATCTGCTTGTCCCGCTCCACAATCCCTGTTTAGGCCTTTTTTCTAGTTGGAAACAGTTCAAGGCTGGCTGTGGACTTTTGGTTTTAATTGTAAACTGTCTCTTTAAATTTTGAGGAGATCTGTGCGCATGCGTAGTAGAACCCTCTGAGGGTGGGGCTGTGGTGCCCAGTAGCTTAAGCACCCCTATAGTCACCAGAATGGAGGTGCATAGATAGCAAGGAACCAATGAACAGATACCAAATGAAAATAATGTCCACACCTTTATCTCAGTGGTTCTGTCAGGCATCTGTGGCTGCTCTGCTCCTTCCCCCAAGTGGTCTCACCCAAGATGGTGGCTTCTGGAGCAGCCAAGCGTCCCAGACTAGAAAGCAATAGATTTCTTGGTTCTGCCGCAAATTTCTCCAGCTGTGAGCCTTCCAGCCTTCTAAATATTCCTTTATATGCGGTTCAGAGTTCTGGGACCAGCCCCTGAGCCTGCTTGCTCGGGTATTTTGTGTTGTTGCTGGCGGAGCTCCTTTACTGCATGTCCACCCGATCTGCCATCTTGTTTGTTCCCCAGTCATATTTTGAGCCCCAAATTGAGGGACTCATCTTCTGGCATTATATCTGAAATATTTTGGTGGTGTTCAAAATGTTTCTATCTTCTGGTACTATATCTGACAATGTTCTGCTGTAATTCATAAAGCCTTTTAGTGGAAATACTATTCAGAAGTAGTCGGTCTCTCCTTCTTTCTAGTCTGTCTTAATTCTGGAATTTTAGCTGAAACCTGTTCACAATAGGTAACCCTGCTGATATTTCAAATACCGGTGATATAGCTTTAAGCATCACAACAACATACAAGTTACCATAGTGTGAGCAAGTGACAGAAATCAAATGATGTATTTATTGCATTATGCAAATCTGCTTCACAAGTCCTCTTTAAAATGTTCAAGAGCAAAGATATCAATTTGAGGACTAAAGGTGTGCCTCACCCAAGCCAATTATGATGATTTTAATATCCTCAAGTTGTTGTTGTTAAGTGCCATGGAGTCAGTATCTTCACATGCATGTGAAAGTTGGACAGTGAATAAGGAAGACTGTAGAAGAATTGATGCATTTGAGTTATGGTGTTGGAGAGGAATATTGAAAGTACCATGGACAGCCAAAAGAACAAACGAATCTGTGCTGGAAGAGGTATAACTAGAATGTTTCTTAGAAGCAGACTTCAGACATGTTATCAGAAGGGACCAGTTCTTGGATAAAGACATCATACTTAGTAAAGGTGAAGTGTCAGTGAAAAAGAAGAAGACCCTTGACAAGATGGATTGGTACAGTGGCTGCAGCAATGGGCTCAAGTGTAACTACAATTGTGAGGATAGCATACCACATGCATCTTTTACGTAATATGATCATGGTTCACATACTGTTGTGTGTATTTGCTGCATAGCATATCTGAATATTTTTTCACACCATTCTTGATGACTGCATTTTATATTATCTTGGTATACAATAATCTTGTTCAATTGTTTTTCCAGTTATATGCATTTAGGTTGATCGTCTTTTGCTGCTACAGGTTCACACTTAATGAACGTCTTTGTGACTGTTAATTTTCACCCGCTTTAAGCTGACAAATTTTGATGTCTAACTCGTGGAATAACTTTTATCTCTGCAGAAGCAAGAGAAAAAGAGGAAGAAATGAGCAGAGAGAAAGAATTAAGAAGGCAAAATGAAGATATTGAACCAACATCTTCAGGCTTAAATGTAGTCAGAGATAGCTCAAAATCATCCTCCAGGTATCTGATTTTTCTAAAAAGGATTCTTTGAAACTTTAATTTTTTGGGTGTTTATAACACAATGTAGTCAAAGTCCCTGATATTAAAAGCTTGCATAATTTCTACTATTTCAGGCAATAGTTTATCCCGAGGGCTATGAAAAAGCTCTGCATCACATTGTAAAAAATTGAATTTTTCTAATGTGTTCCAGATGTACTATTAAAAATCCATGCTTTTTGGCTGCAGGACAAAACTATATAAAGTTGGAAAGATGTTGACAAGTTTTCACTATTTATCATGTTTATTTTGGCATTTACATCTTTTGTCCTTTTCCCAAACCTCTGCATTCATAATAACCTTTTCTTGGTAGACTCCTTTATGGAAATGGATACTAGGAAAGAATATAAATAGAAGCACATTATGAAGTCCTGTTGTGGCGCTGTGGGTTAATGCGCTGGACTGCTAAGTCAGTTTGAACTGCAAGGTTGGCGGTTCAAGCTCATTAGTCGCTTCTTGGCACTAAACTCCACGGCATTTAACAACAACAACATAGAGTTTAGTGACTTATAAGAAAAAGCAGCCATTAAACTCACTTTAAAGTGAAACTAAACACTGGATAATTTAATTATTACTCAGAGCTTAAAAAACTAAATAGGTATATGGATATCAGATCTGGATGAAATAGTAGAAGTCTGTGTGGTGCTGTGGGCTAACAACTAGACCACAAGGTGGATTTGGACTGAAAGGTGATAGTTCAAACCCATCAGCCACTCCTTGAAACCCATATACAAGATGGCTCTGAGTTGGAACTGACTCAACACTTAGCAACAACAACAATAATATAGGTGATGGTTCAAACCCACCCGTAGCTCCTTCAAACCCTACACAGGGTTGCTATGAGTTGGAACCAACTCGACTTAGTAACAACAGTATAGAGGATACATCCTGGACTGAGAACCACAAATTGGCAGTTTGAGTCTACCAGC